CCCTGCCTCAGCCTTGTAAGTAGCTGGGATTACAGATGTGTGCCACCATGCCTGGTTAATTTTTTTTGTATTTTTAGTAGAAATGGGGTTTCACCATGTTGGCCAGACTGATCTTGAACTCCTCACCTCAGGCAATCCGCCCGCCTCGGCCTCCCAAAGTGCTGAGATTACAGGCGTGAGTCACAGCACCCAGCCTAAAATAAAAAAAAATTTTTTTAAAGTATAGTTTTCTTTGGAAATGTGCCACCCCACTGCAGAGCAGAAGAATATGCAATGAAGTAATACCTATTGGTCAAATAGGTTTGGGGTTTTTTTTTGTTTTGTTTTGTTTTGTTTTTGAGACTGGGTCTTACTCTGTTGCCTAGGCTGGATTGTAGTGGTGTGATCTCGGCTCGCTGCAACCTCTGTCTCCCAGACTCAAGCAAACCTCCTGCCTCAGCCTCCCTAGTTGCTGGGACTACAGGCACACGCCACCATGCCTGGCTAATTTTTGTATTATTATTATTTTTTTTGCTAGAGACAGAGTTTCGCTATGTTACCCAGTTTGATCTCAAACTCCTGGGCTCAAGTAATCTACCCACTTTGTCCTCCCAAAGTGCTGGAATTACAGGGTGAGCCACCTCTGTGGGGCAGAGACTGCATTCTTTATCTCAGCTTTTATTGTATCATTTCCTGACTAAAAGGAGCCCCAGATTTGGTCACTTTTTTTCTATTTTGACAAAATGCCAAAGGTAATGGATTAGAGTTGTGTACGTAATCATAGTAATTGTTTTATGCTCCTTTCTTTAGTCCTAATAAGTGATTTGAATCTTTGCATAATTTGCTGCAGGACAAGCTACTTACCTTTTTGTGCTTATTTGAGTGTTTTTGGATACACTGCATGGAACACATGTATCCTGGGATGAAGCTTAGGTGGCATCATCCATTTAAAGTTGATGGAAAACAACCTGAAAATGGTGTTGGTCAGTGCAGGCGCTCAGATATTCATCAGTCATAGCAATACTGAATTGTTTGCTTAAATTTGTATGGCACAGCTAGCCTTAGGATGTGCATTTTCTTTTTTTTTATTATTGTTATACTTTTAAGTTCTAGGGTGCATGTGCACAATGTGCAGGTTTGTTACATATGTGTACATGTGCCATGTTGGTGTGCTGCACCCATTAACTCCTCATTTACATCACATATGTTTCCTAATGCAATCCCTCCCCCTACCCCCACCCCATGACAGGCCCTGGTATGTGATGTTCCCCATCCTGTGTCCAAGTGATCTCATTGTTCAATTCCCATCTATGAGTGAGAACATGCGGTGTTTGGTTTTCTGTCCTTGTGATAGTTTGCTGAGAATGATGGTTTCCAGCTTCATCCATGTCCCTACAAAGGACATGAACTCATCCTTTTTTATGGCTGCATAGTATTCCATGG